AAGAATTCCATTGAAATTAGTTGAGCTGCTCCAGTTTTACACCAGTGTACATCACCTCAGGAAATGCTCTTTCACAGAGCATCCCTGGAATTCCTCTTGCTTACAAAAATAGCCTTACATGCAACAAGGAACCTAGCGGTACAACACACACAAGAACATCTCTACAAGTTATCACAGTGTAACAGAGGAAAATATACCAGCCAATTTCATACAAAGGCAAATCTACAGGCAGTTTTGGACACCCCTGGACTGCCCAACTCAAAAATTGCACATTTTAATAAATGAAGACTTATTCTGAATAAAGTCAAGCAATATTATTCTTTAACAACCAACATATTGACAATTAGGATGGCTGAGGTGTCTAGAAACAGTTTTCATGTTTTAGCTTCCAAGATTTTCCAGAGTGTTTCAAAATACATGTCAAAATGAAACAGAACATCCAGTGCTATCAGGCCCAGTACTTTTCTGCAATTCAGATAACCATGTCAACACTACAGAAGTCTCTGTTGCCCAATACAAAACCCAATGAAGAACCGATGAGCAAAGACCATATTTAAATGATTACTGTGACATGCAATAAGATCAAGAAAGCAGCAACAAAATTCAGTAAGCATTTTGAAAGAGACTGTGGCAATTCAGTTGGGATACAGGATTGCATCTTTACAGAGGCTCTTTACAGCTAATATTCTCTCCCTACTCAATTCTACATACAAAATAATATTTTCAAAACAATGCATCTAGGCCATTCTTTGCATTAAAAGAGCACAACCGACTCCTACAGAGGATGAAGACTCACAAATTCATGTCAAAAAACCCATACAAGTACATTTTGCAAGAAGCAGACACTTCATTTGCCGCATGCCCAGGTTTAGAATAACAATTTCAGAAGAACCGTTCAACCACAGTGAAACCTAATCTTCCACTGCACTTTTTATTCACCTAGGTTAGGAAAGCAGAACTTTCTATTAACTTTATCTAAGAAATAGTGTTTTAGTTGTAATACACTCCAGTCCATCTTGGGTCTAACCCAGCACAACATCTTTAGGCTACAACTTCTGACGAAGGGCACTTAGACTGTGACACTCCACAGAGAAAGCACAGTCCTGACTTTCTTTTTTCAGACCATATTCACGTCAAGAGAACTAGTGGAAATAACAGGAAATTTTGCTTTGCAAGGGCTTGTGTAAAAAGTGTATATTGGACCTGCATGAGGACAGCTCTGAAAGTCTATCCACAGGAAAAAAAAAATCCTTACAAATATTAGCCCTGCCTCCAACTAGAAAAAAGCAGATCTATACAGAATGTATGTATACATCCCTAGTCAGACACACAGAGCTCGAAACACCTATGAAGTCAACAGCACTGATATTTGTAACTACAAGCTACTGGTGTCCTTCTATGAGGTGCAAAATACGCGTTCTTCTTCACCATCTGTTATAGTTTCATAGAGAAATTGCCAGATATTCAGCCAAGAAACATTAATAAGAGGGAAGCCTTTTGGACACGGCTGGCACGGAGTTACTGTGAGGTTATCATCAAGCATTCCAGAGATGGTAGGAGAGAACAGACAACAGTTCAGCAAGAAATTGCTGCTATGCTACTCAGATTCAACAGGCAACATGTCAGTCCTGAGGCAGTAGAAAGGTTAATATCTTATTTGTTCAGTTTTTCCTCCTGTTACCAAACTTTTAACTTTTGAGATTAATGTGTCCTCTGCTTCAAAAGCTGTCTTTAGCAACTTTCAGATCTTTCAATATATATAAAGCTTCTGATCTTCATAGGATGATTCATTTTTAAATGTATTTGTTAATAGCTGCATAAAGTTCACAATATATAAAGTATTTCCAGATATCATAAGAACAAAATGATGCAAGTATCTATTATTAAAAAACTTTTTTTCTCCCCAAAAGGTTCAACTTCAGTGTTTCTCAAAAATCTCAAATTCTAAATTCCAGTACACTGTAGTTTGCAATAAACAAGGTAGCCCTGAGAGTAAACCTACCTTTTAGGAGCTGCTATTGCTTTACCTAAGTCAAAGACAAAAATCACTTCTATCGTACTCAACACTTAATTTTCTGTCCTCTCTTTCTCATAGAGAGTATGTAGATGCAACCAAGGATTTCCATCCAAGGAACTTGTCCTCAAGCATTAGCCTTTACTGCCTCAGTACTTAAATTTGTTGCTACAGGATTATGGCACCAATCCTGTGAGAAGAGAACAGCAGAAGCAAGTTAAATTTTAACAAGCCTTCTATCCTTGTGCCTTGCACTCTTAAAACAAGGATTCCAATAGAGCTGCCAGCGCAGGTCTTTATTACAACATTGACCTTCTACCTTGTGACTCAGAGTTTACAAGTAGGGAAACACAATTTACACATCTCAGAAATCGACTGTCAGTGTTACTGAACACTCTGCCACCGGCCTGTACATGTTGCTAGAAGCCTGCAATGCTGGGTAAACAGAGTACCAGTGTGTCAAGTGGTTCATAAAAAAAAAATAGATCTTTACTGTTTTTTAAGCTACGAGATAGGCAATCAAGGAACTGACCAAGTTCATGCATGGTTAGGACTGAAAGGATGCCAAATGAACTCAAATTCTTGGTAAAACTGTGCTCGAGTAACGTGTGGGTAAAACGTCCCAGACCCAAACATCCTAACCCATAAATAACGCAATTTTAATAAGTCTATACTGAAATTGATTTAAATACTCTACCTAACAGCTCTGCAGAAGACTGCATATAGGATGTTTAAGGCTAATTTTTAGGTGTACGTGCATAAAAGCTGCTCTTGGAACAAGAGCCACCTTATTTTCTTAATTCTGAGTTTTTAGCATGGATTCATAATAAAGTAGAGCTGCCACTGCAATGAGTGGAGTTGTCCTGTACAAAAGAAGCCSTAAAACCAGATTGTTTTTATAAAAAGCAAAAATGTCACATTTACATTTGGTTTTTCTCAGAGCGGCTCACTAACTGGTACAGTACGTTGTCTGATAACACATAATGTAAACTAAGAGATGCTCAAGCATTACGGAAACAGGTGTAAGAGAAAGGTCTAAGGTGAGGAAGCCGTTGCTATTTGGGACTCACTCGTGGATGACAATAAACGAGAACGCAGTTCTGGTCAAGTCAGCTAAGTCTCAAGGCAGTGATGAAGTGATGAAGGCTGCTTGTTAACTTTAGCCCTTTGGTTCTTAACTGTTCAGTTAAGATCTCCTGAAAAAGCAGTAGGCTATTTGGCATTGATGAATCCCTCCATATGCTACTCCTGCGGAACAAACACAGACTTGCAAGTAATTCATCCGAATAAGCCTTTCTGCCACAAAGCCAGTCACGTCAGGTTTACACAAAGCTAGCTACAGCAATACATTTTAGACTTCAGATTTCAAAATTTTCCGAAGAAATTTACCAATATTCATAAAAAATTACAAAAAACTCACAACCGATACTAGAGAAAATTGAAGCACCAAGCCATGTAATCTCCTCTCCCTAACAATTTCTTAGTGTAAGTCAGAGCTATTTTGATGAGAACAAGATGACAAACCAAGCTCTGCTCATTTGCTAATTTAACAAGTGTCATAATATTTAGTGGCATATTTTTCATTTTTAATATGCTGAACTTTTGCATAATGTTTTAAAAAGGGGCTTGCATCAGCTAGCACGATTCATGTGCATTAGCTCTGTATAATTTATTGCTATCCAACAGTTATTTATGTGGCATTTACAGAAACACAAAGTGTGTACCGAAACAGTGAATGTTACCTGCAAAGGTACACAGGTATTTTTTCTCCAAGTGAAATGTCTGCGACCAAATYCAGCATGCTGAGCACTGAAGACAGTTGTTATACTTGCAGTATAATATTTAAATAGATGCAGTTATGAGAAGACTTGAGTATGCAGCTGCTCCACGGAAGCTTTATATACCCAAGTCKGTGAGAACTGCTCACGTGCAACAGACCAATATTCAGACTGAGAGAATAAGGTACTTTTAGAAGTAGAATTACCCAGAGAATAAATTTAGAATTACTGAATCTGCTCTGTAAGAGAGGCTACAAGGCCGATTCATTTTGTAAGCTGAAGTTAAGCAACTGCAGTTGCATTTTGCTCAAACCCAAGTAACTTCAGTGACACAAAAGAAGCCTTACTGAAGTTCAGAACAGTGTCAGCTTGAAATGGCTGCTTCCCCTATTTTCATTTATTAGAGTTGCCAAAGGACCATAAACTGCTGCATGTCAATACCAAGCGCGAGAAAATCCTGTGCTTTACACACCAGCCAAGGCTGGTTATCAAAAAAGGAGAATGTATCTGTTGCTGTAAACTGTTGTTTGACAAATATTACACCCTACAAACCATCACCCTCAGCAGACCCACAAAATCCCGCTACAGTGATAGGGAAGAAACCATTCAAATATTTCAGTGCTATGTGGCAGGGGGCTATAACACAGCAATGAGGCATGACAGAGCAAATTTGTGCCAAGAGTGGTTAGTCATTCAAGTTGACTAATGCTCTCAGTAACCAAGAAATCCTGTAAGGGGCAAAAAGCATATTTTCTGGGGGGGAAAAAAAAAGTGAGGAGAATAAAAGGATTTGTTTTTCCCCACCTCTACACAAAAATCCTATGGACAAATGCAATACTACTAGGACAAGTGCTTTCAAATGCAATTTTCCGGGCAATAAACAAACACAGATGAGAATTCTGTGAAGGAAGGAGTCTTAAGAATGTGACTTACCCAAAGCACAAACTTCAGATATCAAAAAAAAAAAAGCATACTATATCCTAACACTGCTTTTTGGATACTCCTAAGTCTTTTCAAGAACATTAGTCTTCTTATTTAGGGTTGAGGCTGCTAAGCAAGATCACATGATTTGAGACTGCTAAAATACTTCAACAATCCTTTGGTCCCAGGAGCTGTAAAACAGCCGAGAAAAACTCTCCTTCCTAAAATAAAACCAAATAAAAAAGGTGTGTTGGGGGATTGTGCTCAGGAAAGTATCTTTTCAACACTTTGCTATGCACCAGAAAAAGCAAGTTTTTGTTATAAAATACACATTTTCATACAAAAGACATCTTGCAAAACCATTTGATTGCCCCTCCCTTTGCAGATCACAACAGCAAACGGGGTCAGCTGGTTGGTCTTGAGATTTGTTTTTGTGGAAAAAAGAAGTCAAAGGACACGCTGTATCACAAGAACCGGTCCTTTAAAAGGCAAAGGATTGACAGTCTTCATTTTCACCAGTGTTTAAAAAAGCAGGCGAGAAAACAGAACTGGAGTCTTCAGAAAGTGCAGACAGAACATCTGCTGCTGCATCATCCTGAACTTTTCAGCATATTACCAAATTGTCATAGGTACAAGCAGTTTATTTATGACAGTGCCACAAGTTATTAAAATGCAAATAGTGTGAACAGGAAGGTCCAGTCAACTGGTTCCAAATTTTTCCCAGGAGTTTCCCAGAAAAAAAATGTCTAAACAATCCAAACCTATCCCTCAGCTTCTTCAGTATGTCCTGATTGCTGGAGTAAAGAGGTCTGTGGTATTATCATACTTGTTCCACGAGAGATCCTGTCTTGATCTGTGCTTGCAGATAGGGAAGCCACAGCAATGGGCTGTAACAAACTGGGTGTCATGCCAGAGGAGACAGTCAGACTGTGAGCAGTGGCCTTGCGTGTAAGATCCTGTGTGGGAAGAAGAGGCTTGAGGATGCTGACAAGACAGAAAGCAGAGCCACTTTTAGGAATGAAATTCACTTTGTTCTTGTCAGGGCAGTAGAAGGCTGGAATTTCATGCAATGGCTTTGGCCTAGAAAGAAAATACACAGAACAGTTTAAACCAGCATTGAAAACCAACATCAAATTGTGCCTCTGACAGCTAGGCTTCRCTGAACATGTCACCACAGACATGGTGGGCAGGTTTAAGCTTGAAATATTTCAGAGACTCAGTGCTGCTTTTGTGATGTTCCTGCCTCATGGCACACTCAAGATGGCTATGAATATGTTTATTCATGCCTGTATGAATATGTTTTCCCCTAAAATTTGCAGTCTGTAGGAAAGAGGAAAAAAGTATTCTACAGACAAATGAGTAATAAAATGAATACCAGGAGTTAACCTGTCCTCTACAGATTTTACTTCTGATACCCACAAATATCAAGTCAGAACAAACAGCAGAGAAATGGCAGCAATCATAAATTCATGTCCCAGGCTAGTCTGTGAGGTTGCAAACTGGGTGCTGTTGTGAGAAGGTTTGAATACACCTGCTTAACCAGCGCCTGGATGGGTGACTAAGTTCCAYGCTTTGGAACTAGAGTAGACTTCCTGGTTCACAGTCACCTTTGAAAGGATGAAGAAACAGACTCTGGGTGGAAGAACAGAGTAATACAAGTAGCAGGTTCGCAAATTAAATAAGCTCTAACTCAGAGCAGGATCTCAGAGGCACAGAGTCCAGGGACTGTCGCATAAGGGGCAGCCTTGGTAGCRACCCAAGAGCTGAGGAAAAAAGTAATAGTTGCCTAAAAGCTTGGGAGGAAAGTAGGAGAAAGAGATAACATTTCTCTGCCAAGAACTTTGTAGAGGCATTACTACCCTAAAGAATAAATGGGCAGGTTTCTAGCTCATGCTGGAGTTACACAGGCCATGTCAGATGCCAGGAAGAAAGAGCARGGTTTGCATGAAAGTGGTATCAGCTTCCTAGCATATGGTGTTGAGATTCAAGGGAAACACTCCATGATGCACAGGTACCTTGATCCACATTTGAGTCTCCATCATAAATGGGATTGAGAGGACTTAGATCTCCCTGAGCTTCCTGAGCTCCCTGAGCTGTATGAAAACAGCCATCTASTCCTGGAAGAGCCAGCTCAAGCCCAACAAGGTGCCACTGACCCACAGCTAACAAGCTCCGAGATTCATAAGCTGATGCACCCACTTTAAAGATCCAGAGTTCATCTCTTCGTACTTATTTGCTTTTTTCCTCACGTTATCTGCTGAGTAGGCAGAGTTGGCTTGACCATGGTTCTCTCACGTTAAGCTCATTTGACCATAGAGAAACTTGGCAGAAGGAAATTAGTCCTCAAGTTTGAAAAGAACTTGTATGCTCAGATGTAAGTTTTCAAACTATTTTCTTAAATCTAGGGAGAAGGTTATTCAAGCATCCTCAGCTGAAGGCTAAACTACCAGCTTGTAAAACAACCTTCGAAAAGCACAGTCTATCATGATTTTGATTTTCATATGAAAGTCCAGCAATAAATACACACCAGTACATAGTCATACAAAGCAGACTGTGTTGTTTTAGTGTTATTTTAGTACTAGACTAATAATTTGATCTGACAAAATCAGTAAGTCATTGGGCACCCCAGAGCATTAAATGTTAGTTTCTTATGTAGTAAAGATCAACTTACAAGCTTTCCTCAAAGACCTTCACCTTTTCACAGCCTTCTGGAGGTTCACGCTTGAACATGTAGCTGTTATTGGGTTTTGGTGAGGTAGCGTATTTTGGCAGTGGAGAATTATTCCCATTCTCTGCAGAAACAGAGTTTTGCATTACTTAAATATGTCAGACCGGAAAAAAAAAAAAAAACAACAAATAAGACACCGATATAATTTAACAGAAACCTATTGCTCCATTTTTTTCTGATTGAAACAAACAACAAAAAAGAAAACAAAGAAACAAAACAACCAAAAAATATTGGGCAGGAGAGGTGGGAGAACGAAAGAATTGCCAGAAAGTGGAAAGCTACCCCTTTTGGTCTAAATCATAACAGATCCTTAACAAAGACAAGAGGACAAGAATACCTCACTATTGCACCTGCCACTGCACACTCATTTATTCCATYTCCCATTTAAGACACTTAAAATATTTATTAACAGAATAATGCTGTTTGAGAAGCATGTTCCTCTCATACCTATCCAGCTTCAACCACAGAACACTAGAAATGTATTCTCTACACATATGGGTTCTGGAGGAGCACATACTTTTATCTCTAGTACCTTTGTCTCTGGATTCAGCAAGAGGATCATCTGTGGAACATGGACTTTCCTCACTGCCCTCAGTAGAGATGGTGAGAAACGAGGCTGGAGACACTGACTGGGAACGGCTGCTGTTGTTACTACCTCTGTCTGCTCCACCRGGCGTTTGGGTATCGATGCTGCGGGTACTACTGCTACGCTGAACCACTGGGGGGGGAGCACGGTGCCCATCTGGAATATCTTGGGGCTGTCAAAAACAAAAGCATCCAACTGTATCAGAAGGTTGTTCCCATCTGGTTAGCAACTTCTTTGAACCCAGTAGTGCTGAGGATTTTTGCTCTCTCTTCTCAAAACCTGTTTGAAATGGACAGTTCTATTTATTACACAAAATTCCAGCAGAGGATAAAACCACTCCGTTTTTGAAACTAAGAACAAAAAAAAAACAGTTCTTAATTTTTTATTTCTATTAACAATTTACCTCTAAACATCCCTGAAGATAAAATATAAATGAAAAATAGGAGGGTTACACTTCATCCAAAGGGAGACAGGAACCCCACCTTGGGATGGGCAAAGAAGAAAATAAGAGTTACTAGGGAAACCTCTCAAAATAGTTCTCTTCTCCTCTCTTAAACTTTTTTATTTCAATGAAAACCTAGCTATGTCAGAGTAATCACAAAGAAAAAGGTTCAGCTTCAAATTCTTCCAAGAGATCTTCCAACAACTACCATTATGGAAACAAAATTAATTGCAGAAAAACTTAAGTAATTTTCAAAGGTCATTATGTGGACAGATACGTACTACAAGCTGCTCTTCTTTGTCTCCTGTCTCCTTAATGATTATCTCAATCTCTTGATTCAGTCCTTCTACGCTGTTTCGGAATCGCGATCCTGTTGATTTGGCAATAGGTATCACAGGAACAAGAGCACTCTTTGGAATGGGAGGCTGAAAAACAGAAGCAGTGAGAAAGTGACGTAAATTTACTTACAAAACATAGCTAATATTTTTACTTAAATGTCAACTTTTAACCAGAACACATCTATTCCTACATACTGAAGACGTACAAGCTGCTCTATAAACCACATTAAAATAGATACCTTTAAATGAGGACAGAGACATTAAAAAAACTTTTTCAAATCTAATTTGTAGCAAGAAAAGCTTTTGCTACTTTAAAAGTGGAAAATTAACAAAAATGCTCCAATTTAAGTAAGACAAATCTTTTAGCCACGGAGCCTTTACAAATACATTCCAGTTCCCTTTGAAATGAGCTGTACTACAACTCCACTTCCTTCTCCATAGGATTTACTGTAATTTCACTATAATTTTGTTTTAATGCTAGTTTGTTGTCACTTAGAGTGCCATGGTAAGAGCAGATGGAAAAAAAAATGTTTTATTTTTCTTCCCCCCACCACCTCCCTTGACTTTTCCTGGGCATATCTACCTCAGTTACCAAGGAAGGGGCTAGATCAACATCATTTTGACGTTGTACATGCAACGTGCATTATTGTTCTCCTAGCATAAAGGCTGAATAAGTAGTTACAAACATGCATAAAACAACAAAAACTGAATTCCGTATCATTCAGTATTTAAAGTATATTCAGCTATTACTGCACAAATTTTAGAGGTGCTTTTAATGTTAAAGGAGACTATACTCATCTTGCAAACACTATTGTTTGTGCAAAGGCCAAATATGAGGCCAGATGATTAGTTTTGTGTAAATTAGAGCTTTGGAAATCACAGTTGTCCCACCTTAATCTGTCACTAAATATCTGTTGATATTTAATATATTTATATATTCATGAGATATCAATGGAGAAAACTGAGAAACTGGCCACGCTTTCCTATTGATTTTCTTAAAGTTACTCAAGCAAAAGAGATCTGAAGAAGAATTTGTATGTCAGAAAGACTCCAATCTTTTCCACCTAGAATCAACCRAGCTAAAAATATCATCTCCCTGTGAAGCAGGGCTCATTCAAAGTGTCTAGATAAAGCTACAACTGCACACTGAACACGTGGCATAGCCATCACAGTTTTCTTAGTGACTACTATTCAGAGTCTCAAGGTACGATGATAAATCGCAGAAAAATGGTTACAAAGGCTGAGGCTGAATGCAGCCATTGAGAAGACACACACTTTTTGACAGAGCAACTATTTAAAAAAAAAAAAAGGTTGAAATTCTGTTTGAAATTCTTTGAAAGCAGATAAGCTTATGCAGCAAGATAACCTAGCCAAGTAACAAAGAGATCCTGCACCTAAGGCAGTCTTGGAAGCCAAAGGAAATTTCACAGAATTCTCCTATTATTACAACGCATTTAGAAGTACATGAGTCCCTTTAAAATCTTGCATAGAGTTAAAAACAGTATTAGCTACCCACTATACCTAAGAAGATAGCATAGCCTTACCTGGCTATGGTTAATGGCTGCGTGGTTACCGTGAAACGGAGACTGTCTTTCCTTATCCCGATGGTGCCTACTGCTGTGCTTGCTCCTCTGCAAATGTTGACGTAACTTTGCAATCTAACAAAGGAAAAATGCAAGTTAGGCTTTACCAGACATGCCCAGCCACATACAGTTTCATAGCTTAACTGGTCACTTATCTAAGCCTCTCCTACCAGACTTTTCATAAGTAGCACCAGCACTAAACTAAACTAAAGTTCCTGCAAAGGTAATAAAGCCAGATACCAGTTCAGGTCCAGGAGATATTTCCTTAAGTTTAATGAAATACATAAAATTTGAAAATAATTAGGTCACTGCTGGATTTCTGCTGCTGCTGAAGAAAGTCATACCCATTTGATTAATTTTTTAATTTCAGTGGGCGGAAAAGAAATTAAGTCCTGTACTGCTATAAGAGATCAAAGTCAAATGAGCAGCTGAAGCCACCAAGCCTGAGCTTTACATAACACAAAAGGTACAACTTTCATGCCTTCCTAAAAAATTCAAGACAACAGTGCATAACAGCAACCAATTTAACCCCAAATCATATCATATAATAGCATTCCTGACCTCCTTGAGTTGTTCGTTACTGCCCCATGATGCTGAACGCTTGTGTGAGTTTTTCTTCTTTTCTAAATATTCTTCAGCCCAGGCACTTTCTGTCTGCAGAGAAAGGATTACCACATTAATTACAAAGAAAAAGATTATTTCTACTCCCTAGAAGAAATATTTTCAGACAAACTAGAAGAGAAAATAGTGTTAAGATTTTCTGGATGCAAAACTGCAAATGAAAAGTAGTCATGGAATAGAAGCTTTTCTAGCAAGTAAAATATGAAAATATGTAGTGAAACTCTATATTTATCAACTATGAGACCGTCTTTCAAAAAGCAACCCATACCATACTACGCTAATTTCACTAAACCAACAGTCATTAACATTTGGTAGAGAAACATGTGAATATATTATAACAAAAAAAGATCTGGGATGTTCCAAGTATTATTAAAATAAGTCATGTTCATTAAAGGTAACAAAAAATGTGAGCATGACTCTGATAACACTGCATGCTTGATGGACAAAATCTGTATTACTACCCAACTCTGTCTAGAACTGCCTTCAAAAGCAGTGAACTCTAAATTCTCCAGGTCAGGGATAACCTATCAAGAACCTCCCTTCCACCACAATAAACCTATCTAATGAAGCAAAGGGAAATATCTCTGGAAGCAGCAAACAAGCTGAGAGCGAGTGACCTCCTTCCAAGCCCCAGGGTTGCAGCGCAGTCCCCAGCTTGCGACAGCATCCAAGGGTGCCCTGGCCACCTCAGCCTTAGGAGTCACTGAGGTCTCACTTTTCCTCCCAGACAGAAACTTCAGTTGCCTCAGAGCCTCCAAATCCAAAACACACAACAGTAGTTTAGGACCATATTCACACAACAACTAGGGCAAACAGCTTGCAAGGCACAAGCTCACTGGGCTTACCTATCTATTTGTTGAGCACCGAAAATTGAAAAATCTTTAATGATGTGATACTAATCCCGGTTCTCTGGAACAAATGGAAAYGTAACTCTTGGAACACACCAGCTGCAGCTTACACTGATTTCAGGTATAGATGGTGGTTTCACATAAATGAAACCTCCATGGAAAACCATCAGCAGGCTTTCCTATTAATGACTCTAAATCAGCAACTAACTAGGACAAATTGAACAACTCAGTAGGGTTGAACAGGAATTCTGTAGGCAAATACCAGAATTCATTTTTCCAGGGACTTTTACCTGAATGATCATTCCAGGCCATAAAATCCCATCTATATTTTCAGACTTCATTAGAACAGAAAAACTGACAAACCCTATTTCCCAGGTCTGGAATCCTATGCTATCTTTTAGCTCCTAGAACAATCTATTTTTTCCATTAATTCTAACTTCCCTGCTAAACACAACTACTCCATTTGCCAACAAGAATCTCATTTACACTTCAATCAGTCTTTGCATATAATTTATGTTCAAAACTTTGTACCAGATCTTAATATCTGATTCATTTTAAAGGACTAAAGTTTATTTTGATATTAATCTTCAAAGCAAATAGGTACAAGATTTTTTAGAGCAGGAGTAGGAATAAGATATTAAATTATAGGAAACATTTATACCAAGCCAGAAATGTAAAACCATTTTAACAAGTCTCCTACTTCTCTATATTTTATAATATATATTTTAAGAACAAATGGATTGAACCAACAACCAACATAAACAAGGATTTTTATTCCTCTAGGTTCTTAACATACTATTACTTGCTTGTTAGCTACTTGCTTTCACAATGTCTGCTCTGGAATTACAAGAAGCTCGTTTATGGGTAAATTTTATACTAGAACACAACAAAAAAAGACTTAAGAAAAAGGCTTTAAACAAATTGTACTTGAAGTTTAAATTATTCTTCAAGGGCTAAAAAATTTCAAAACAGTTGTCTCATTTTAATTTGCATTTTGACATAGGAGTTTTTCAAATAATTACAGGCAAAACCAAACAAGTCTGAATCAAAGACAGAACATGTTACAAATATTTATTTAAGTAACAATTAATAACAATGCCCAGATGCATGAATTCTAACCAGACCTAGGATGCTCAGCTTTTTCATCAAACAAACATCATTCTGTATGCACATAATTCAGTCTGGTTTTAAGTTGTACCCCACCGAAATAAAACAGTTGAAGAAGTCTGATATACAGACAGTTTGTGCTCCACAATTCTCATCTGTGATCTACAGGCATCTCTAACAGCCTGCAAGCCAAAGCGTGTCACAAACTGCTGCTGCTTCTCAGTCTGCACTGTGATTGACCACCCCATGCTGCCACGGATTCAAGACCTTCAGCTAACTCAACTCAAAAGTCTTCTACATATTTGTAGTTTAAGCTTGCAATGGAGACCTTCATTAAAGCATATGTCACAGTGTTGATAGAAAAACAGACTTTAACTACCTGTTTTTTTGCCAAAACTGGCGTCTTTATGTTTTAAATAAAAACTATTAACAGCTATTCCCTTCATACATTATTTGAAGCCTAGCTGTTGTAACAAAAGTATTTGGAGTAATTTTGAACCAGTTCTTGCAAATGAGTATATAATTGTGCTGATCCACCTGCAACATAACAACATTGGCTCTCTTACATGCCTCAACTCCTGGTGACAATTAGGATTAGCTGATAGTCACTGTTGGACAATAAGCACAGACTCAAAGTACGTGAAAATGGGGGAGATGACAGACTTTGTGAAATCTGACATTACAAAGTGAAACCATGATATCTAGCAAGTGAAATTTCATGTCTTCACAAAAAAAAAATAAACCGACTAACTTAAGAACCTACACTCTTGGGAAATCAGTTATTGTTAAATCACATGTTTGAAACTCAACACTAACTCAGATGGCTGCTCTCAAGTCCACTAGAAAAATTAAAAACAAGTCTTGTCAATGTCACATCAGCTCCACGGTCAGACATCACATGCAGGTTATCTCAGAACTTTCTACCTTGTCAGACAAGTGTAAAAATATCATTCTGTTTCCTTCAGAAGTATACCGACATTAACGTCCATTAAATACACTCATTCTGAGGAAATCCCAAATGGATTTTTTTTATTCATGTATAGACACATATATAGCCTTCCCACTAATCTCTGCAGATGTGTTTCCTTTTATATATAAAACCCCATCCACCTTAGCTGTTGGGTGTGTCAGAATTAGAAGAAAATGTCAAAAGAACAGTATAAACCAAAAAAAAAGATACTATCTAATCTGACTGGAAAATACACAGATTTTAAGAACCCAGACATGACTAAAATCTAACAAAGCTAAAGAGATCAAATGAATACAACAAATACTTTGGTAGCACTTTAGAAATACCATTATTTTGGGGGAAAAAACCTACTATCCTAAGAAATCAAGTTTGCAAATACAGGCATCCACAAGCTTTCTCTTTTGTGCTTTAAAGAGGGTTGTTAATAGCTAAGAATGAATGGAAATACCTTGTATAGCATATGCCTTCTTCTCTCACTACAATTTGTTTTCCCTTTTCACACCATCTTCTAACAGTCTCCTGTTCATTTTCTTGCACAGAGAACTTGCTCCTGAATTCTTCCTCCCTCATCAGTTTTTAAATTATGCACTTGGTCAAATCCCTCTGAAATACCTTACTTGCCCACTGATCTTCTCCTTTGAACTAAATTTTACAGATTTGGGGAACACCAGCCTGCGTGGCTGCATTTTCAYTATTGTTACCACTCCTAACGATGGCAGGTTTACACTCGAATATGCCTCACATGCTGCCTGCCTGTGTATTTGCCAGAAGCAGCTGAGAGATATTATTTGGAATTGGTAAAGGCCTGWTGTTGTAACCATGCTCTAGAATTAGGTACTTAAATTTGAGATGCTTAGTTCTCTCTTTCACTCCACAGGTAAGAGAARTCAATTGTATACACAAAAGCTGGGATGAAATATTCTGATAATGGACGGAAAAATCCACCTTGGACCTCTTCTACATACAGTATGATATCATGTAAGACTGCTCCTTGTAAGGAGAATATGATGAAGCAAGTGCCATGTGGTAAACTTACAGCTCTGGTAATGTCATAGTTCCATTGAACTGTTTGTTGGTTCTRTCTTTACAGACAGCATAGGAATGTATCATTAAAAGGTTGTAAAATATTGTCAAGTTCTTGAAGTTAATCACTAAATCAGGTACTTTTAAAATGCTTTGCAGTTCAACTGAATTTGAGCGCAATTCATTCCTCAGAGACAGTACGCCAATGTATATACTCAGGTGAATATTAAAAGAGCTGTTACAATCACAGGATTAAGGGGCTTTCATAGGAAAGACTAGCATAACTTTTATGAAATCTAAAATTTCTTAAGCAAGTTTTGTAACCRAACCACGTATCAGCAGTCACATTAAGTTTGCTTGCATAAATTAAAGACTAAACGATACTTAACTAAAACAGTGTTTTTCTTCCACACAGTACAAACAATGAAAACACTGATGTGTGGTACACTAGTGCCCTTCTAAGAGAAAAAAGGAGTAAGATGCACTCTTAACAGATACCATAGTTCAGGGCCTTCTCTTCGAGAACGATGTATATAACCCAATTGTGAAATATCAAAAGCAAAACTTCTGTAATTTCAAAATGAACAAGAACTTGCAAGCTAGAAAGCCAAAGTGAATGCTTCAAAGAAAAGCTTCTTGTATTTAAATCCCGTCTTCTTACTTAGAAATATAGATGTTAGAAATATTGACTATTTTAAAGAAAAAAAAATCTGTCCTACCTGTGTGGCTTTGTCTCTCATACATGGAACAGCTTGACCATGATTATCACGAGGCCACTGTCCAGCRAGATATGGGGCAGCAAATGTATCCAGTGAGGAAGTGCGGCGGATAATACTGGAAGGGCTCGAGGAAGGTGGTCTTGATTTGTCAGCTGGAATGAGATCATATGATTAGAAAGAAAGCAAATCAAAGAGCTTAATTATTTCTGTTATCTCAGTAAGTCATAGATCAGAACTGCCATCTTGTGCCAACAAAGGATAAGGTAATTCCTATACTGAAAGTAAGCTTGCTATTTAGGTTCTATTTAGTTTTAATAAGCAATGCAATATGTTTTTACAGTTTCCCTGAAAAACATCCTTTGTCAAAAACGTGGCATCAGTACCAATAAGTCACCATTTATTTCCCCAAAAGCACAAGTCATTGGATTCTTAAACAGATAAGGTCTGCAGGAAAATAGAAGAGCTAAGTTTCCTTATACCTGTCAAAGGCTAACTAAGAAAAGSCATCCTAAAGTGTTTCCAGTTTAATAATAATTTTATTAGAATTCATAGCATTAACCCTTTCCCTTTGTTTTAATTCAAGGGGTGCTGCAAGCTGACAAGTTGTACTAACCGCTCAAAATATGATGTCACAGATTTSTAAAGAGGGGTATTTAACTCTTAATTCTAGATGTCAGTTTTGATTAATGATTCATATATTACAAGACATTTGCTCCCTTTACATGCYACTTGGTAACTACATTCATGTGTCCTTCACCTTCTGCAAAGTGTTATCCAACACTTTTAGTGTTTATGTTGACACCATTTTTCAAATAAACTTATATATTAACAGGAGCCTTTACTGAAGGGAGGTGGAGGGGAAGCTTAAGTGTAACAAACATAGGAAGTGAAAACAGAAGAAAACATGTTAAAAAAAGGTTGCACACACTCCACCTATCAATTCTATTTTAAAGTGGGGTTACTAGGTTATAGCTTAGTTTGTTACTGTAAGTGTCAAACACTAGAAGGAAAGGTTCCTCAACATGAGATTTGAAGAGGTTTATGAAATTAAAGAACTGGTAAATGGGTTTAGATATACATATATGCTTACACATGCACACTATTATCATTAGACATTCCAGATGTAGAAGGCTAATTCATAGACTCCAATGATTTAAGCTTATTGCCAATCCATCTAGTTCTCTCCAGACTTATATCTGATAAATATCACATATTAATCTGACCTTTGAAGAATGCAAAGGGATGGAACAAATGGCTAAAACATAGCTAATGACACAGAGATCAATAGGAAACTTTAGAAAAGCATTGGGAAGATCTTAGTCATATACTGTACATACTGCCTAGGGTGGTGCATAGGACAAGTTCTGTACTAGGAGCATCAATAACATGACAATTGACACGCTACATAAATTCATTCATATGCAAAAGAATTAGCCCACAACTACTGTCAAATAGCTGGTCAAAACAAAGAGAAWTCCAGAATTCAATTTCCCAACAGTTTCAACCTAATAAAGAAAAAGAAACATAAAAAAAAAATCAATAAAACCTATTCTTAAAAGTTATTTTAACCTATTAGTGCTGAGGACAACATTTAAGTCTATTAGAACACTAGTAGTTCAAATTTAGGTCTAGTTACATTCAATAAATAATATTGCTTATATAAATATTGCATTAGAAGTATTAACATTAAAACAGTGAAAATATTTCAACTTAACTATAAGGAAATAATTATTAGTGCTTTAGTCAGCAGCTCTCACAAATTACTCTCAAATCCTCATCTGATTAATTATTTCCACAGGCACAAACGATCAAAATCTTACTAGCAASCTCATAACATAGCTGCTCTCACAGAGCAGCAGCAAATTTCAATCTAAAAATCACTCTGCAGATGAAGGGTCCTTTATCAAAATACTAGGATAAGGCATAGGATGGGTATCACTGTATAAGACATCAAAAAGATTCCATGCATGTCAAACATGCTATTTGTTTGAGAAATAATTGCCATGCCATGCTCTGCCTAACCATTTTTCTTCCAAATTATTATTTTTTCCTTTTCAAGAAGGTTCTCTCTTTTTACAAAGGGTGAATAGAAAACAGGTGGAAATAAAAAGAATCAGGAAGTGTGTGTGGCCAGTGACATCATCTGCAAAGCAACTGCAACAGACATCTTTAGAACTGAAGCAGCACAAACTACTACTGCATCCCCGCCCCCAACAAAACGGATGGAGTATTTTTGCAGGCAGACAGAACGAAAACCGAAGAGCTTGTTTACTAGCTAGGTTCAAGGGAAGCTGCTTATTTCAAAGCACAAAAGCATAAACACATCTTTTCTTCCCCCTTCCAATCTCAATATTCCTGCAAAATTAACTGCAGTATGAATTCTGATTTCAGGTTGTTTTATTTATATTGGACAAGAATTGCTGATGATTTAATACATTTTTTGATTTTTTTTTTTTTAAATACCGGGCACTGTACTATCACAAGATATCTTACAACAAATTGCCAGTGCCTACTATTCAAATCCTCTTGGTGATTCAGAACACTTCAGTGGAAACGTTTACAATGTTTTCATTACATTTTCCTCTATAGTTCTTGGAGCAAGTGCTCAGCTGCTATTTTCCCTTTATGTGACCTACATAACAAGAGATCTGCCTCCATAGAGATAACAGTTACAACAGCTGTGGCTGATGAAAAACAATGGAGCTGTTTCATCAAACTGAAGCTTCTTAAACATTATATTTGTTTTAATTGGCTYGATTATCTCTTTAAACCAATATTTGTGACAAACACCAGCCCTGCTCTCCCCCCAACACTAAAAATCTATTGGGAAACAAAGCTTTCTTTGCAATCTAGTTTGAAATAAAGCAAAACAATAACAGAGTATCAATTGAACATACAGAATATAAATCAAAAAAATCTAGAACATGGGAAAAAATAATCTAGTTATCATGTCTAAACATGTCATTGCAGCACAACTGAGGTCAATTGCTTTGGCACACACCTTTTGCAATTTTAAGAGGCACACACCTGCAAAGACGAATTAAGCTAAGACAGTCAGTGCGACTGAACAAGAAAAAAATGGACATTGACCAATAAAAAAAGGCACAATAAAATACAGATATAGATAACTACATGAAAGCTAATGAAAGAACACAGACTTTTATGTACTTTTAACCAAATTCTATAGCTACTACTACAATAACAATTGGGGAAAAAAAATAAGGGACCCATATTGTGAGAACACATCTTTGAAAAGGACATGTGAAAGGAGAAATTTTTTACATATAAAAACAAGGTAAGTCTCTACCTCATGAAAAGGTCCTAAGGAAAAGAAAACACTCTGAAGATTAATCTTTAAATTTTCCTAAAAAAGCCAGAACTATTGTTACAAGTGCTCAAAGAACAAAATAATGATGACTGATGAAGTACAACCTGGAGATTGATCTTACATCCCTGATGTTGTCTTTCTAAACGTTTCTTATTAAAAATGTAAAATTTTCTAAAAGGAAATTAAAAGCTTCAAAGAAACATTTTCTGATAGACACCATGAAAAGAAACATGACTAGCAAGCAGCAGAAAGCTATTGCTTTTCCAGAAAGCATAGGATGCCATTACAATCAGAATCAAATTCTCTGACAAAGTTCTAACTGAAGCCTTATATACACCTGAAATGCCCAAAGCGAGATCAACAAGCTTCTCTGGCATCTGGTAATATGACTAAGTTTTTATAGTCAATTTTCTCTCCTCAAACCAACTCTTTTTTTTCTCCAAAACTACAAGGAAATGCAACTACAATGACCTTTTCACGTTTCGTTGAAAGAACTCACCAGGCTCAACTGCATTAAGGTCAGACACGGAGTATGATGCACACATTGAGTCTGGAAGATCCAGAGGTAGGATCACCTCCCTCCCCGCTGCCGACAATGCTCTGCTAATGCCACCTGGAATGTCTTCTTTGCCACAAGGGTGCATGGTTGGCCCAAGGCTAACTTACTGAAATGGCTGTACCCCATCTTGAAATGCTACAGTCAAATTTTAGAGCATAATGCAGCTCCCATCCTTCTATCTTCCCCAAGGAGGTTTCTCCCATCCAAACTCTTTAAGACCTTCTGATATATGTTACCATCATTTTCTTCCACCACTCCCTTTCACATTAGCTGGCTTTAACATTACTTCCTCATATACTATTCTAAACAGTAAAAGACAACGTAGTCAACAGCAACACAGCAGAAAGTTCACTATGCAGAAACAATCTCTCCGAATCTCAAGACACTTGAATTGGTCAGTAAACAACTGTAACCACATTGGTCCTTATCTTCTTGTTCACATAGCCTCATGTGTCCTAACATTTCTGCAGCTGAACACTACTGTTCAAGCTCTCATGTGCTTACTCTTTGGTTCACATACGTAGGCACACTTTTTCTGGAACTCATTCTATTGACTGGCCTCCCTTGATATTGGGTAAGCTTGGTAAGCCAACCATCTGGTTCCTAGTGCTCCAGCTGTACCTTACTCACTGTCTCTAAAGAGCACTCCTGATTTGCAGTAGAACTCCTCTCAGCCCTATTCCATTAAAGAACACAAATAACCAAAGATCACACTTGCTCTTTACTCAGTAGATAAACCAAAATAAACATAGTAAAGCATATGTGTTTCGGATCTACTAATAGGTCAAAATGAGATTATTTGTTCCCAGTCTAAAACATACACTATCCTATTTTAAGTAAGTATGTTCTGAGACGTACATCATACCTCAGGATATCCTCAGTGGAAAGCTCTAATGAAACTATACATGAGGCTCTCTCTATTTCCATACTTGGACAAAAGGACACCTATGATTTCCTCTGTGGTGTCACACTGACCATTCTCCATTCATCTTATAGAGTCYCAAACCACCTCTAACTAAATTTTGAACCTACTTTCAGGAGTAACAGGATCCCATAAGGGAAGACAGAACAAAGAGAGAAAATGCTGACAGTGAGTGGTAAAGATGTCATTAATTGATTTCCAAATCTGTCAYGTGGAAAAGCTATTGAACTGTGAGTCAAGCAAAATGTATCTGAAAGAAGGTGCAGAGAAAATCAGATGACTAACTTGCTCTGATAAATGTGTCTGCAGGTACTGTATGCAAAAGGCAAGCCAGAATTGGGATYTGCAGGACAGACCTTGCAGTGTAGAACAGAGGTATAAGAGTCAATCACCCCCGAAGTGATAGGAAAGAGAGCTTAAAACATGAAAATCAGTGTTGAGTAACACAAATGTAGAAGAGAAATTGGTGTTGGAGACTGTAGCAAAGCAAAATAAAAGACGAGAAAGTGGTAAGAAGAAATATCTTGGTCCTACTGGTCCTATTATTCAGGAGGAAAGCACCAAGAGAGGATGGGAATTAGAAAGGAAGTGTTTCATGAAACCTTCAGTTTGTAATTACCCCATCTGAATAGAATTTTCAGCTAAATATTTTAAATATTTCCAAAATTAATTTCATTGCAATTCACTTCAGAAACCCTAGGTCTAAAAAGAGGGGGGAAAAGAACTATTAAGGTACATTTTGAAAGTTCCTCTTGTGTTAAATATATTGGAGAAAACATTACATTCAAGACTCTTCAACTGCTTATTAGAAAAGAAAATTAGATAAACATGAAGTTGAGCCTTAAATGTACAGCTTACAGAACCAGTATCAACATTTCAAGTTCCATTAAAAGTCAACCTCTATCAAACTGAACTGTACAATGCAAATATTAATATTAAACTGGCTTGATTTGCATTTTAATCCTCTGCCGATACCAGCCCTGTTCAGAAATTTAAATATATGGCAGCAGTTAAAAGGACATGACTCTTCTGCTTCCCCTCCTCTCGCAAAAAGCTAGTGAGGTTATCTGCTAACACAGCAGTGGGAAAAGCTAGTGATCAAACTACTTTTTTCTTTACTTATGCTACTTCCTAGATCCAGTTTAAGAAGTCGGGTAGGCAGTGTTGTTCTAACAGGTCTCTACATGACAGTATCAAGACCGTGCAATTCTCTCCCCCTTCTAAGTGGTCTAATAGGAGCTTTCACAACCTGCTTTTGAATCTGGATCTCAAGAGCAGCCACCCTAGTCCTCGCTCTCCAGGCTACCCAGGAGACTGCATTTTGGGGGAGAATTTCTCTAGAGTTGTAGCAACAAAGATGAATTTTGTGCTGTGTAGAATGTCTTTCAGATTCATTAACAAGAATCTCAGATAAAGAATATACATATTTCTCAACACAAAACTTCAGAGTATGACCTTAAGCAAAACACATCACTCTTATCTGGAAAGCTGGAGATCAAAATCAGAACCTAAATGCCTTTGTAGTTTTGCTCTCTTACATTTCAGAGAAGTAGACGTATGGTAATCTCAAAGAAGTGCATCTGAATAAAAAGGACAAAATCCAACATACAGAAAAATAAAATTAAACCACACAGACGCAACTGTAAGTACTGCACAAACACAGTTGGTTATGACTGATCTGGTAAACCATTCCTCCAGAGTCAGGCTACATAAAAACTGTAGTGTGGCTACAATTGTAATCTTAGAAGAGGGGGAGCGGGGCAACATAACGAGAAGCRGAAAAGTTAATGGGAATTGTGCCGGTCCCACATTTCTGCCTTCCCACTTTCACATATTACTCAACTTGGTGCAAGTATGTGATGCAAGTTCATGACAAAACACCAGCTGTAGCTTTGTTTTCTATTGAAAAAAATCACTTATTTTCCAGATTTGAGGACAATAACATACTGCCCATCCATACATTTTGGAGTAAACTGCTATGCGCAAGGATTTACATACAGAAGCCTCTAGTAGCCACATGCTGTTTACACTTCAGTGTCCCTCAGTATGCTTTAAAGATTAAGAACAGTGAAAAGCAGCTTGCTCACACAGGACATCTACCACTGCCATACATTTCCTATCCTTGCCGTAGCACAAGCCTGTCGTCACTCCCAAGCTCACACACCCTTCTGCAGGGTTTACGTTGCAAGCTAAGAACACTTTCCTTCTCCTATATACGAGCTGGCGGCTCCCCTGCAGTCCCCCCTACTCTCCTCAGGCACCCGCCGCGCGCTCCAACGGTCGCCGCGCGGGTAACGGTCGCGCCGCGTGTCCCCCAGCAGTCCCCGCGCGGGTAACGGTCGCGCCGCGCGCCCCTCAGGCGCCTTGCACAGGTAACGGTCGCGCCCCCCAACATCCCCCGCGCCTGTAACGGTCGCGCCGCGCGCCCCWCAGGCGCCTTGCGCAGGTAACGGTCGCGCCCCGCGCCCCCCAACGTTCCCCCCCTCGGCTAACGGCAGCGCCGCGCACCCCTCAGTCTCCTCGCGCAGGTAACGGTCGCGCCGCGTGTCCCTCAACGTTCTCCGCGCGGGTAACGGTCGCGCCCCTCAGTCTCCTCGCGCGGGGAACGGTCGCGCCGCGCACCTGGCGGTCACGGGGCGAGGCGGGGCCGGCGGCGCTCACCTTTGCAGACCGGCGAGCTGGGGCTCTTCCTCTCCGGGGAGCTCCTGGGCGGCTCCGGCGAGTGGCGGCGGTGCCGGAGCCTGCCCGCGGCTGCAGCGCTGCCCTCCGGCAGCGCAGGCACCGGCGAGGCGCAGGGCGAGGGCCCGCAGCCCGGC